CTGTATCTTAGCAACTCTCAGTTCAGGAGCCGTATTACAGAAACTTCCTATCTTTTTGTTTTAAGTTCAGATCTGACAGGTCAAAATAAAGTTTTTCACAAATTCTTATTATAGAAGCAAATCTGATCTTAATTTAGGAATTTTATCTTGTCTTACAGCATCTTATCTCCAGTTAGGAAATCTTAACCTACTCAATCAAAGTCGACAATCAGCTGTCATGTCTGTTTCCTAGCAACCGACCATACACACACAGCTGAAACGTAAACATGTAATCGAAATAATGTTAAACATGTTACAGCTGCTGTTACTGATTTTAAAAAAAAAGGCCAAACAGAACTAAAGTGTGCTAAACTATAAGTAGTGAATACTGTGAGAGCGCCCCCTGCTGTTTATCAGAGCGTCGCCGCTCCCCAGTTTCAGTCTCCATTTCCCAAACGCTTTAGCCGAGCGCGCTAACGTTACTCCTCCTAATAAACAGACACACGTTCAGCTCCGCCTCCTCATTATTCACCACCATCACTGTAATATTTCATCATCAACATTAACACACGAAGGTGATCAGAGGGGCGGTGGAGATCGAGTCTGCAGCGTCTGAGATCTTTAAAACGCAGAGTTAGAAAAGAAAATCATCTCACAGTGAAAGCAGCGTTTTACAGTGGAAATAAATGGAGCTCATTATGCTGGTAGTGAACTATGCTGCTGACACAGCTGCCTAAAAACCATAGAAACGGACCTTAAACGGAAGTGAGGACCCTGTTGGGGTTCATCCTAAAGTTAGGACAGGATTTAGGAGGTTTAGTCTAGTTAGGATGTTTGTGTGATGCTGTTTTCTTATCTGGGGTTCATGATGAGATTATAAAGTTAGGAACTGTTATTCTGGAATAGATACTATCCGAAATTCAGTCCTAAGTAAAGTCATCCTGGTGACTAAGCAGATAAGATTTCAGGGTTAAAACGTTTCTGTAATTCAGCTCCAGGCCTCCTTCATCTGAAGGCCTTCACACACCAATCAAACTAACACCAACCAGCCTCAGTGCTGCAGAGCTGGAAGGTGTCTCTTGAAATTGACGAGGTCCAGAAATTGAACTGACAAGCCAGCGGACCGGAACGTTCCTGAGGCTCCTCGGCAGACTAACACATGCTTTTCACACCGACCCCATGTTCGTCTGTTTGTTCGGTCAGCGTGGGAGAGTTATTCGTTCATGTTCCAGTGTGACTTGTGAGAGTGGAGAGTGTTGAATGGTAATTAGTCAGAATCAGAATCACTTTATTTCGCCAAGTGTGTCGCACATACAAGGCATCAGTCTTGGTGAGTCACACGTGTATGACATTAACACACTGAACAGACCAGACAAACACAGACTGACAACAAGGATTAAACGAGACACATAACATAGAAATACAGTAAATAGAATAAAGAATAATAGTCAATGTGAAAGAAGCTAAAGGGAAGTGTGAATATCTGTACATATCGCTGCATTTTTCAGTTTTTGACATAATTTGAAACTGTTACCCTTTACATTGTCTGTAAATTTCACGATAAATGGGCCAAAAGAAACGTCCCAAAATGACTTGGGTGGGGGGTGGGGGGCAGGTGTGGGGGGAGTCTGGTTCCATTGACTTACATTAAAAATATAGAGTTTATTTTTTCCCTTTCCTGTAAAGTTACCATTTTGGAGATACAAGGTTTTTCCGACAGCAGTGATACGCAAGTCTGAGTAGACACTATAAACACTATGCACCAAAAATCATGTTCTTCAAGGGTTCTTTAGTAAGGAAAATGGTTCTATATAGAACCATGAACACTTAAAGAAGGTTCTTTGTAGGGTGAAATGGTTCCTCAGATTGATGGAGCACGTGCTACAGATGGTTTTATGTAGGCCCTGTTTGAAAAAAGGTTCTATATAGAACCAAAAAGCGTTCTTCTATTAATACAAGCCTGACATTGTAACAATAGAAGAACCATTTTTTGGTCCTATGTAGAACCCTTTTCAAAAAGGTTAGGGTTTTCAGCCCTAAACATACCGTGTACTGTTGTATCATTCCTACCTGCACTGATACAGTGTGTAGCCACTGTTTGGGAAAGGCCAGAACAAAAGTCCAAAGAGAAACTTAAAAATGATGGAATTCAGTTCCTTCAACTGACCAGCTGTTCTTTGTTGTCGAGGAGGTTGGATTTCATGGTGTTTACTGTAACTTACAAACTACTTTTAGTAAGTTTATTTTATGTAAACTGTCTTTTGGTGCATCACTACACACATGTGCACACTGACATATACCGGTCAGGCATAACATTCTGACCACCTCCTTGTTTCTGTACTCATTGTCCATTTTATCAGCTTCACTTACTATATAGGTGCACTTTGTAGTTCTACAGTTACAGACTGTAGTCTATCTGTTTCTCTTTTAAACACTGTGTCCACTCACTGTCCACTCTATTAGACTCTCCTACCTTGTCGGGTCCACCTTGTAGATGTAAAGTCAGAGACGATAGCTCATCTGCTGCTGCACAGTTTGTGTCGGTCATCCTCTAGTCCTTCATCAGTGGTCACAGGGACGCTGCCCACAGGACGCTGTTGGCTGGATATGTTTTGGTTGGTGGACTATTCTCAGTCCAGCAGCGACACTGAGGTGTTTAAAAACTCCAGCAGCACTGCTGTGTCTGATCCACTCAGACCAGTGCAACACACACTAACACACCACCACCACGTCAGTGTTACTGCAGTGCTGAGAATGATCCACCACCCAAACAGTACCTGCTCTGTGAGGGTCCATGGGGGTCCTGACCACTGAAGAACAGGGTAACAAAGTATCAGAGAAACAGATGGACTACAGTCTGTAACTGTAGAACTACAAAGTGCACCTATATAGTAAGTGGAGCTGATAAAATGGACAATGAGCGTAGAAACAAGGAGGTGGTCAGAACGTCATGCCTGATCAGTGTATGTACACACTCCTGTGCAGACCTGACGGCAGTGATGTTTTCCTCCTGCGGGTGAAACACTGTTATTGATTAAGCAGTGTTGAGAGTGCTGATGCTTTTCAGCCAGTTGCACTGCAGCTTTGTCACTGACGGGTATTTGTTTTTTGGTAATAAAAAAGGAGGCGGATGAGGGAGAAAGATAAAGAATCAAGGAGAGAGAGAGAGAGAGAGAGAGAGTGAATGGGGGAGACAGAGAGAGCTGTAATGTGTAGCTCACTAGCCTCTTCAGGCTGTGTGCGAAATAGTTTTCAGTGGCTGGCAACTCCAGTGTTGTCTGTCTGCTAACTCTCTCTCCATAGCGGCGCTGAAGCTTCAATGACAGTAAATGTTGGTTTATCAGTTGTTCTTCTGTAGAGTCTCTGTTCTAGTGCGGTTCTGCGCTCTTCCTCACAGTAACTGAGATCTTCCTCGTCTCCTCTTCTGTCTTCAGCGTGAGAAATGAGGAACAGTCACTCTTCACTCCAAACTCTTGGGAAACTGGGCGAGTTTTCAGATTTACAGATCTGCTGCAGCTCATTGGACAGTTTTTCAGAGGAATCCGGGCAGAGTTACAGTTTCTAGACTATGAAGGACCAACTGGGTGAGCCAGTCTGCTACAGCGCCACCCTGAGGCAGAGCAGTGCTGCAGCTCTAGTTAGTTAAGAACACCAAAAACAGAAGCTGATTGTGGGGAAAGCAGATAAACAATCAGCTTTCTGTCAGTTTTTATTTGAGCGTCAGGGGGGTCCAGGAGGTTAATTAGGGGGTCCCGGATGCCTCAGGACCCCCTGTATTTCACACTTTGTCCGAATGTAAATGCAGGTTTCTGTCAGAATAAGTAAATGTGTCCTCTTTGATGATCGAGAGCTTCAAATATGTGTTTACATTTTAATTTTAAGTTTTTTGATTTGAGACAGAAACCAGTAAAACCCTGTGACCAGATTTCACTTAAAAACTGTATTCTGTAAAGATGGTTCTTCAAGGGTTCTTTAGTAAAGAAAATGGTTCTATATAGAACCATGAACACTCAAAGAACCCTTTGCATGATTAAATGGTTCTTTGCATCATGAAAGTGTTCTTCAGATTGATGGAGAATGTGCTGTAGATGGTCCTATACAGAACCTCTATAGATAGAATAACCCTTTTCAAAAAGGTTCTATATAGAACCATCTAGCACATTCTGTACATTTTCCATCAGTCTCAAGAACCCTTTCATGATGCAAAGAACCCTTTAATCATGCAGGGGGATCCTTTGAGTGTACATAGTTCTGTATAGAACCATTTTATTTTCTTAAGAACCCTTGAAGAACCATCTTTCTTTAGAAGTGTAGGCTCAAAACAGTAAACTCAAAACAACACTACACTTTTAAAAATGATGGTTCTTTAATGGTTCTTTAGTAAAGACAGTGGATCTGTATAGAACCATGGCTCAAAGAACTATTTGTATGATTAAATGGTTCTTTGCATCATAAAAGCGTTCTTCAGTTTGATGGAGAATGTGCTGTTGATGGTTCTGTACAGAACCTCTTTGAAAATGGGTCTATATAGCACCCACAAGGTACAAGCTTGACACCGTGACAGTAGAAGAACCCTTTTCTAAAAGGTTCTTTATAGAACTGTCTGTAGCCCATTCTGTGCATTTTCCGTCAATCTTAAGAACCTTCCTTCATGATGCAAAGAATCCTTTATTCATGCAAACGGTTCTCTGAGTGTTCTTGGTTCTATATAGAACCATTTTGTTTACTAAAGAACTCTTGAAGAACTAAGTGTGGGTTGTAAACACAACACAACACTCTTAAAAATTATGATTTTTCTAGGGTTCTTAAGTAAAGACAGTGGATCTATATAGAACTATTTGCATGCTTAAAGTGTTCTTTGCATAGTGTTTGCAGAGGTTGTGCTGTATATGGAACACCAGGGTTCTTCTAACGTGTTCTTCTTCAGATAAAAAGCCGTAGAACATGTCACACATATTTAACTATCATTAAATTATGCGTAGTGTAAATAATAACCATACCTTTTTCTCTTAAATCTGCAGGGATTTCCAGTTTGGCCATATGAACGGCAGTGATTACATCAACAGCCTCATCATGGGGTGAGTGGTGCTCTTTATTTCTCTCTTCACTGTCTCATCTCATCTCATCCCTCCATCCCTGAGCATCTGCACCCGCTGACCTGAGAGAGAAGGTCAAACATGTCATGGCTGGTCACTAGAAAACCTCAAACTGCTGCAGGATGATCAGATTAAATAGACATTTTGTTGTTTTAAATGGGACATCAGCTTTTTGTTAATCTCTTTATGCTTTTAGCTTTAGGCTCCTGCGTGAATGAACTTTTGGCTGCCAGATAAAGAGCAATAATGGTCATTTCCATTGAGAGATTTTGCCCTTTTGTGTTTTCTTGGTTGTATTTGAGTGGGCGGGTCTAAATCACATCAAAAGACGATGATATCAAGATGATCCCTCAGACCATTCGTAGCAAAGAATAGTCAGTCATTTCAACCTAAAATGACTGTAGTCTGCAGTCCCACTTTGCAAAATACCAGCTCCACAATTTTACATACACGATATGGCCAGAAGTCTGTGGACACCTGACCATCACACCTATATGAGCTTGTTGGACGTCCCATTCCATAACTATGGGCATTAATGTGGAGTTGGTCCCCCTTTGCAGCTATAACTGCCTCCACATTTCTGGGAAGCTTCTGCAGATTTTGGAGAGTGTCTGTGGGAATTTGTGTCCATTCAGTCTAAAGAGCATTTGTGAGGTCAGACACTGATGCAAGAGGGCCTGGCACACAATCTCCGTTCTAGTTCATCCCAAAGGTGTTCAGTGGGGTTGAGGTCAGGGCTCTGTGAGGGCCACTGGAGTTCCTCCACACCAAACTGGTCACTCCATGTCTTTATGGAGCTGCTTTGTGCACAGGGGCTCAGTCAGGCTGGAACAGGAAAGGCTCTTCCCCAAACTGCTGACACAAAGCTGGAAGCAGATAACTGTGTAAAATGTCTTTGTGCTGCAGCATCAACATCACCCTTCACTGGAACTGAGGGGCCCAAACACTGAAAAACAGCCCTTGATTTCATACACCTGTTAGCAATGGGAGAGGCTGAAACACCTGAAATCAATAAGTAGGAGGTGTGTCCGCATACTTTCGGCTATATAGTGTAAGTGAAACTTGGCAGCTCCTTGATAGAGCTGCAGCTCAACCAAAATAAACACTATAAACACTATAAAAACACAGCAGCTCAGAAACCGACCCAAGAACGATGAACTTGCAGCAAAGAAAAGACACCAGGGGCCGCATTACAGAAAACACTTAAGTCTAAGATCTGCTTTGTTGTCATGCCAACTTCAGTTAAGACTGAATTTAGGACAGAAGCCATTACAGAACAACAGTTCTTAAGTCTTTAATCTTATCTTATTTCCAGATAAGAAAACGGTATTACAGAAACATCCTAAGTCACCAGAATATCCTAAATATTTTCTTAACTTTAAGATAAACTCCAGAGCGTCTTAACTTCTGTTTAACCGTCTGTTTCTGTTGTTTTATGCAGTGAGAGGCAGCTCAGTTCACTATAACCAACATAATGACGCCACATTAATCTACACTGAAAACGGTGCTTTGACTTGTGAGGTTTTTTTTTCTAACAGCGTTTAAAACCCCCAGAAAGCGTTTGGGAAATGGAGACTGAAACTGGGGAACGGCGACGCTCTGATAAACAGCAGGGGGCGCTCACAGTATTCACTATTTACAGTTTATCACACTGTAGTTTTGTCTGACTTTCTTTACACTTTTCTTTACTTAATGGCATCTAACGTTAGTTGTCTGGCTAACTAACTTGATTACGTGTTTGCGTTTCAGCTGTGCGCATATGGTCGGTTGCTAGGTAACAGACACGACAGTTGATTGTCGACTTCAATCGAGTAAGTTAAGATTTCCTAACTTGAAATAAGAAAAGATGCTGTAAGATAAGCTTCTTAAATTAAGGTCAGATTTGCTTCTGTAATACGAATTTGTGAAAAATCTTATCTTGACCTGTCGGATCTTAAGTTAAGACAAAAAGATAAGAACTTGCCGTAATACGGCCCCAGGTGTCCAGATCGAGCACACAGGTAGGTTTAAAAGACTGAGCTCCTGGTATTCATGATATATTTCAAGGTCTATTACAAGTGCCTGTGTTTTGCTGTTGACGTTTTGGCGTATTTTGAATAAACAATATCCAGTTCTGGTTTTAGCGAAATGTTATTTCAGATGTGATTGATAAATAAGGCTTTTCTGGCCTACAGATTTGTTGAAATGCTAAGATAATGGTGTTTGGATGATTGGCCCAATTTCTACTTGCGTTGGCCGCTACCACTCACCACCAGTTACCGTACTCATCCTCAGTTGAACATAAATAGGACGTCCATCATCTGATCTCTCACAGACTCAAAGTCCGACTTCTAGGAAATTAAAGGTTAAAGAAAAAGCCGTATTCACTGGGGTTGTTTGTCATCATGGCTTCACCGCTGCTAATTACTGAAGCAGTCACACAGTCGTGACCGGGCAGAGAGGCTTTTTTGGATTATGATTTAGGATTATTTTTAATTCAATG